AGAGGGAATTTTAAGACACTTGTAAAAAGACACCTTCTAAGTATAACGCAAATTTAAGCACCAAGCTGTGATACACTTCTGGGACCTCTGAGCAGAGCCAAGTGCTGGTCTTTATGTCAGGGCACGTGGGGATGGGGGAGCCAAGTGTGCCCCAGCCTCTTCCCCCCACACTCAGGCTGCCTTGCCAAGGGACTCAGGTGATGGGCTCCATCAAGTACTCAAGTGCAAACCAAGAGATAGCAGCATGGACCACTGGACTGCAAAAGCAGGGGAAAAGCAACATGACAGTATTGCTGTACCATTTATATTTCAATGGCTATAAAATAACATAAAACCTTGAACATGGCATAATTGTACAAATACTCCTAATTACTGGGTTTCCCCTACACTGATCCATATACCAAAAATACTGAGGAATAAAGTTACACTTCCAGCTAGGTGGATCATTCTGTTGAACCTGTCAATTAGCTGGGGCACCTATCATGCAAGTTAACGGGAAGGAGAGAACTAAGATTCTTAATTCCTTATTGTATGGTAATGATGACCTTGAATGGCAAGATTTCTGACACTTATCTTTGAAATAATAACCCAGATTAGATTATATTCAATATAATTTTGGCTGTTTCAAAACTGAAGATTTACTAACCCATGAAAATACTAAAAAAGTTGTATTTATCAAAAAACTATACGCCAGGAGGCAAAAATATACAGCTTTGCAGGTTTGTTCTATTTGCTTAAGATTTAACACTATTAAACCTGTTAAATATATATATGTTAGAAAACAAGCATGTCAAGAATTACAGTATTCTGTCTTGTATAACACCTTCCCAGAGTGCAAATTCACAGTTTGATGGATGATTAACATTAGGGGAAAATTATTCACCTGATTACCAGCAGGAGAGAGATAAAATGAACACAATATATTGCTGAATTTAGCATTATAATCACAAGAAGAATTTTTACAGATATATTGCAGCAGGGAATACTCCCAGTTTTACACACAGGAATTTCCTGAATCTAATATGTCATTTATTCCTGGCAAAGTCTGTCCTTTGTCTACATATATTTCATTTTTCCCAAACAGAACAGCACTAAGCTACATAAGTGCTGGACCAACTTTTGCCAGATTTAACTACTGTATACAGTAAAGCTTTAGTAAAGCATTACATCTTATTATCTGAAAGGTGAGCGAGAGGAGCACCTTAATCATCCTATTATTAGTTACAAAGGACATTTCAGAGCCTACAACATACCTCATTTTAGACCAATTCACAGTAAGATTTACTCTTGAAGATTCTATTTTTTGCTTTGTTTTGTGAAGATAAATAGAATAGAGTAAGGTGTCCTGATGGAGGAAAACTCTATACAAGGGAAAATATGAACAGGAGAGGATTTTAAGCACATAGCAATCATCCTTTTAACTGTATTTTTCCCATGCCTTTCTGTAGACTATTTTTGACAGTCTCACAAAATACTAGATCAGTCCTCCAGGCCTTATTTCCATTATAGTCAATAGTCCAGAGACTTCCACTACCATCACTATTCTGATGAAGATTAGACTTCCTTTCACTTCTTATCTTGCACCTCGTTTTGCTTTATTCTGCAGTGAAGTCTTATCTAACTTCATTATCTGTCGTTGTAAAAGCAACTGCGCTGCGAAAAATGCATCTCTTCGTTGTACGAATATAGAAATGATAGATTTGCAGAGAAGGACGCGAAAGAAAGCTCTCATAATTAGCAAGCAGTAGCATGGAAAAATATGATAAGTATTTTGTTTAAAATTATTCTGTGCTATTTAGACATTTCTACTTCATGGAGAAAATTCTCTTCCATCCCCAATGCCAAGCACTGGAAACCAGTTTTGGCTCTAAGCATTTCTCAGGATTTTAGAGGAAGGGAATCTATGACTATCTACAGCTATGACAAACCTGGGCTGCAGTACCAATGCTGGTCCTGCCTCATGGCTCCATGACCAACAAAGCCACGGAGCTCCACCTCTGCCTAGCAAGTACTGGGTCTTTTCCTTACCAAACTGTTCTTCACATTCAGCACCACTTCATGGAGACAGAGAAGCCCTGGACTGTCGAGCTCCTTACGGTACTCTCTGGAGATGCCCAGACCTACCATTTGAGTTCAGAATGATGAGATGTGGCCTGAGATGTCTGCCATTGCCATCCGCTGATGCCAGAGTACCACAGCCGAGCACAGGGCATATGTGGCTCGTCTGTTTGAAGTCTGTCTAAATTTTGACTCACAGAATGACTGTCGGTTTGCATTGAGCGACTCATGGATCACACATGCCATTACTCAGAGGTAGCAGATTCACCATTATATTTGCAGTTCTCACTTATTTCTCTCAGGCTAGTTGCCTGTAATAATCAGAAAAAAGCTGGACATCCCCTCAAAATAAATAAAAAAAAATGATTTCAAATATTTGTGTTGTTATCCCAGTGCTCTGAAAATGATGTACACTTTAATCCAGTATGTAGACAATGCATTTGCCGTTATTTTTACTTACTAGCCTGGCCATGATACCAGTTTCCAGAATGCATGCCCAAACAATGAACATTTTTGTGAGAATAATATGTTCAATAATTGAGTACAGCTAGGTCAGCTGCTTAAAATCGTAGATCTTCTTTTACAGTATTTCCTTTTCTGAGCATATTTACATACTGCAAAAATAGACCTTTAATTTCAATAAATTACAAACTCTTCTACCGTATTTTGTAACGGAACTGGGGCATTTAAATATTTTCAAATAATCTTTCATTATAAGGACAGGATTTCAGTTACTCCAAAATGCTACTTATAGCTTCATCTGCTCTACAGATTAAAAACATGCACAACAGAGGTGAGTTTTTAAATAGCATTCCTCCCATTTTAGAACAGATAATGTTTGAAATTGCTTCATATATTCCTCTTCCTGTTTGTGGAACAAAGTATGCAGCCAAGGTCCCAAGCATCCTGATACATCACAGCCCAACCCCTTCCATCTGAAATGCTGCTTATGGCAAAAGGTACAGGCTTCACAACACCCCTATGAGGATGCACTTTCAGAGATTTTTATATTGAAACTACATTCTCATATTGCTGGTTGAAATACTTACTGCTTTCAGAGAATGAATTTTCATTCAAACTTGTAAAAATATTTCAAGCTTCAATATATTTATGCAATGCTATGTTGAGATTGCACTGCACTTACAACCAAGCAAAACAAGTCTGCAGCTGCATAGTCAGTCCATCCAATAGCTCTTTGGAAGACAAGAATTTTATTTTTCATGATTTTGCTGAATTCAGGATTAGAAAGCTCTTAAAAAACATCTTTTACTTCATATGGAAAGATCTCGATGGCAGAAAAACTCATAAATATTGCTACGTTGAATTATTCCCAAACAAGGTTTACAATTTTCACAACATGTAAATGTCTAAACCTGGACAACTAAATCCTCATTTACTCTTATAAATTATTGGGCTGGATTTCAGTGATTCTGAGAACTCTCAACTATCTCCACTGCCAAGGAAGAACTTTGTGCGCGCTCCTCTGTATACTAAGCCACTTGATTTGGTGATCAAATACGACACGTTGTCCACACAAAGATGCCCCCGCTTTTGAAATTTATTCACTAAGCCTCTGGCATTACCAGGTGCCAGTCAAAATAATGGTTATTAACCAAATTGTGGATTTGCTTGATTAGCAATGGAAAAGTGTGAGCTGCAGCCTGCATCCCATCGCTCACTACAGTGAGACTGACGACACGCGCTCCATTATCAGTATTTCAGAATACACATGCTTTGCCTATTCAGTTTAGACAGAAATGCCTTGAGATGAACAAAAATGAATTTATCTCTAGCTATTCACTTCTGTATTTTAAATATTATTCTCTGTCTCACCTTTCCTCTTGCACCTACTATAAACCCCCTCATCTCAGACCCTAAAACAGGAGGATCACACCTACAAGCCATTTTGAAGGTCACCTCTAACTGCAGAGTATCTATTTCTCTAGGACTGAAAGAGGCTTGGTGTTAGTGAAGTATAAAATATTTTCCTTTTGCTATGCAATATGTGCGTACAATAACGCAAATAACAGGAAATATTATTGTTAATACAGCACCATCAGCCAGATGCTGACCAGTTTCAAACCACTGTACACCTGGGTATCCGCAAAGTGAAGCTTACTTCTTGAAGTTCATAATATTAATAAAAGACGCTCACAGGCTGCTGGAGGTTTCCAGCTATAGAAAAATGTAAGAGATTATGGTAGGGCCAGCCTTACTGAGAAAATCTGTTCAAGAACACAGGTCATTTATCCAGGGTTTGTGCTACTGACACGACAGAAAGGACATCCTGGGGCCATTGCCACCATTTTGCAAGCAGGGCCTGACATCTGTACTGTCGCACTCTTGGTAGCACAATCATCAGCATGCGGTGAAAATAACAGTACCAGTCAAACAGCATTCAACCATAAGGCCGCCTGCAAAGCTTGAAGTCTTAAGCTGTTACTTCTCTTTAACACGACAATCTACAACTTTCTATAAAAGCATCCCAAAAGGTAGAATGCACTTTCCACTACCTCTCTCCTAATCTTTGCCATTTCAATAATGAATAGAGCTGCTAAAAATCAGCTGCAGCTGGCAGAACTAATACCTGAATCAAAACCTGGGAGACGCTGGGTTTTTTTCATTCTCTCTTATGCCCAAGGAAATAGTGTATATATGGCTCCTTGCCCACCCACTCAAACACTTAAGTCACACACCTATGCCTCTGGAGATGGGTGTTTGTGTGTGTGGGAGGCAATGCACAGGGATGAGGTGAGGTCTGGCAGGCAGCACCATGGCCTGCTGAAACCTCAAACCACACTTCATGTACACAGTTTAGTGCTCACTTCATCCACAAACCCAAACTAGTGTCCAGTCCATTTACCTACCCAAACTCTCGCTTGCCCAATTCATGTACTAAAACCAGGGCCCCGCTGATCGGGACGCCTGCCCCGCTTCCTCACCTGACCACGTTGGGGTGCTCGAACGTCTCCAGGTGCCTCAAAACTGCCACCTCTCGGATGGTGGACAGCGGCATCCCCTCCTCGCTGGTCTGCACCCGTACCCGCTTCAGCGCAACAAAGCGACCTCCGTTCTTCAAGTCTCGGGCCTTGAACACCTTCCCGTAGGCTCCTTCCCCAATCTCAGCCACACATTCATACTGCTGGTCAGCCACGTTTGTGCTGTCCTTATCCATGCTGGCGCGGCTCCTCTTCCTCCTGTGCTCCAAGCGCCGCGGAGCGGCTCTCGGTCTCAATCGTTTTCTGAAAACTAGTACTTTGCTTGTGTTGCAGATAGGCCACGCGCTTGGTACCTCTGCCAGAGGGGCAGTAGAAAGCTCTCGCCCCAGTCTTCTCGTTCCTCTTCTGTATGGGCCCCAATGTGTCTCCTCTTTCAGCCACCGGGAATTATCATACAGTCTTTGGGAGCATTGTCTGTGTAAAGCCAATGAGATCTGGAGGACAAACCAAGCAAGAAAAGTCAGTTTAGTTTACTTCATTACTTTGCATCATTCAAAAACTGAGAAAATTAAGCTAATATAGTAGATAGCTACATGCAAAGCAAAAATGTGGTGCAAAGGAAGACGTGAACCACGAGGGTGACACATGTATCAACGTTCCTGCGTGGCTGATACAACACTGCATAGTTATCATGGTCTGCACAGAAGGCTACAACACACAGCTACAGAGCAACCACGTGCTGTGGGATTTTACTGAGCAACGGGCTGAATACGACGACCCCGTGAGACAGGGACGATGGGAATGGCAGAGCTAACTATGCATGTGTGAGGGGAAGTTACGTCCAGGAACTTATGTCAGGATTGCAGGACTCAAAGGTTTCTTCAGTGCACATGGTGGGGTCTTGGAAATATATCCCACGCTACATTACTGTTGCTTATTTGTAAATGACTGATAGCACTTGGAGGTTTCAGGCTTGCTCTGCTCTCCCCTGTGCTAAGTCCTGCATGAACACATCGCAAGAGACAAGTTCCTGCCTCAAAGCGCCTGTGGGGAGGAGAAATACGCACATATTTAAAAGACGATAATAATGTTACCGAGCATTGTGTGCTAGAGGTAGATTCAGAAATGTACACTTCAGCGAACTTATCAACACGCAAGGGTTTTGGCTGTGGACACTGCTACCACTGGATGGGCGACTGGCAGTTCCTTGCAGACCAGCGTGATGGAAGATGGTCTTCAGGAGCAGCACGCTCTGCTGTGTAGCGCATGAGGCTGGAGAGCAGAAGCGCTTCCTTCTGCATCCAGTTTCATCCACACTTTCTGCAGCTCTGTGGGCAAACCCTCTCCCCTCACAAAGCTCCGCATCAATCCTCTCCTTTTCCCCTGCCCCTTTTTAACATAATGATATTGTGACCTCCGGGGCTGCAACCCTCTCCTACACCGCGTTTTTACCGTGCCAAGATTAAAGTGCCCCGGACAGCTCAGTCGGGGATGCCCTAATTTGAACCCAGACACAAAGCCAGAGGTATTTTCTACATTTATGCTGATCTTCCACCTTAGTCGCAGATGAAAAGAGCGATCTGAAGGAAACCTGCGCCCGCTGCTCATCGCTGTTCCCCGGCTGCAGCCAGAGGCACCACCCTGCCCCACG